AAACCCCCCTCCAAAAGCCAGCAAGTCACTCACACTCGCTTTCGCTCTCATTAACCCCTGGTTAATCTCCACTGCCCCCGTGTAAGGGGGCAAACGAGAGATGCTATCTGCGAGGGACATAATAGAGCACCGGGCAGATCAAAGAGCACTAGAGCCCAGGCCTCTGCTAATTAGCCGTAATTACATAAAGTTTATCTGTTTAAACTTCATTAGCGGGTGGGCGTTTGCTCCACCTGACCGCCTTCCGCTAAGCCATTGTTAATGAACAGATAATCCTCAACTCCGATTCATGATTGTCTTACAAAACAAACGATTCTTTTTAAACACCAGCAGCTGGAACACACTGCCCCCCCCCCCCCCCGCAGTGCCGCCTTGTAACCCTGCCTCTTCCGACCCTGTGTACCTTGCAGTGGCTCTGCATTGGCGTGCCGTTATATGGGGTGGACGGCAACTACAAGTTTAGCGAAGTTTGACATAAATCCTTGGACCATGGGGGAAATTGAATATGTATGAGCTGAAACACATATGACTCAGTGGGCATATTAATATTCTTGTCACTGGAGCTTTTCAAACTTTCAAGTAGATGATTTGAATGAGTCCACCCTTGAGATTGCACAAAACAGGGCAAAAGAATATTATACATAATTAAAGATCTGCGGGCACCTAAACTTTCCATTTACCAGACAATCAAGATGAATCTTCCAGTTAACTGCCACCCAGAATAATAAAATAAATAAATCAATAAATAAATTAACCACACACTTCTGGCATATGCAAGGATGCGATAGTCTAGTATATTTTTTTCTGAAAATATCCAGTAAATTAATTAACTAATCCATGAATGAATCCACCAATTTATTTTTAAAGCAGTCTGGATATTCCAGTGCTCTAAACAAATGAATTTACCCAAAACTATGGATTGCACGATCGCATGCATGCAAATTAATCCCTTTTATTTAATTACGGTGGATTAAGTCTTACCAATTAGTTTGTCTTCTGTGTTTTTTGCATTATTAGAGTAGTTGTGTTGGTATTACTGTGCATACATGTATGAGCCAGATGCAGCCAACACAAACGACCATTTTTGTCTCTTTTCCCACTCCACGTCCCTGTCTTCTGCCGCCAGCCTAGATTGGCTCATACGAGGGCAGGAACTGTGCGTGACTCATCTGGATGACCAGGGGAGTCCTGCGGCCCACAAACAGCGCCATTGACGTCATACGCCCAGTCACATTCCCAGGCAATGCATTCTGGGGAATCAAACTGCATAATGCATGGACGCTGATCGCATCGAGGCCTGCAGATGCTGACTGCTGTTTGGTCACATGATCAAGATAGACAGACAGACCAACAAACAACAGTAACAATACTAGTAATAAAACACTTGTGCCTCAAAGGGCTTAATTGCACAACCAAATACTGTAAGAGTTATAACATTTACTGACTTTTATATTTACTGATTTTATCTTTAAGCTTGAATATCCATCCAACCTCCAACTGGTTATCCTGGTCAGGGTCAAAGGGGGGGCATCTCAGAGAGCACAAGACAGGGGGCGCCCTGGACGGATGCCAGTCCATTGCAGGGCACCCACCCACACACACACACACACACACACAGTCAGACACTACTGACAATTTAGAGATGCTAATTAGCTTATCTGCATGTCTTTAGGCTGTGGGAGGAAACCGGAGGACACTAAGAAAAGCCTTGTGACACAAGGAGGACATGCAAACTGCACAAACAGAGGCCCATTTGAACTCTGGGACATGAGAGACATCAGTGCTGCCAGTTAATCCACAGTGCTGAGTGTGAACATACCGCCTCTCCCCGGGTTACGATGGGGTTACATCACAATAAACCGTAAGGCAAAAAAAAATCGTAAGGCGAAAATATCGTAAGGTGAAAATGCCTTTTAGTACACCTAACCTAACAAACATAGCCTAGCCTAGCCTACCTTAAACACGCTTAGAACGCGTACATTAGTCTACAGCTGGGCAAAATCATTAACTCAAAGCCTATTTTATAATAAAGTGTTGAGTAACTCAAGAAATTTATTGAATAATGTAATGAAAGTGAAAAACCCATAAAGTCGAAATATCGTAAAATGAACCTTTGTAAGCGTCTGTACATACTGGTACATACCACAACACGCACAATGATAAACAGCCACTTATATTGGAAAAAAGACTGAAATCCAATAGCTGGTTTTCAAATGACCAATATAGCCTATGGATGCATGAAGTTATTGAACCCCACTAGCAAACATAACTGGTATAAAGTGATAGTTTTGATGCACGTGGCTGCCTCATGATAATAAAACAGCCACAGTAAGAGCAGGCACAGAGGAATGCATGCCTCGCATGTCCCGGCTTAAACATCGTTAGCATTTCGTAGGCTTGGGCTGGTCGGCAGGTGGGGATGAGATGCCTTCAGACAAACGCGGATCTATTCTCGGTCTTTGTGTTTCGCTCCCTGGCTGTTATATTTTGGTCCGCAGTCACATCGATTCAGACCCGGCGAATCTGGCTCGTGTGCAGGCATCATGTCTAATAAGTGGCAAACCGTACCGTGTTAAATTATTGAGCGAGTCTGTCAAGCATGCGGTGGCGGGGAAGGCCGGGCGTGAGCGTGACAGGGCTGAGCCTGGCGAGGCGATCCGAAAGGTCGGAGCCGCCGTTCGGCGCGGGGTGGCGGCTCGCGGCCGCGCGCAGCTGATGGCAACGCGTGCAGTTCCGCTGTATGGCAGCCATGTCGTGCCAGGGGAAGGGACAAGATTGAATTATTAATTATGATAACCATGGCGACAAGAACGCTTTCCGTCAATGGCAGCAGTGGCGGTAATTTAGGGTCACGCTTCAGCAAACAATATAATTACAGGTGGAATGTGCTGAGGGGGGAGATGAACGTCTGACTGTGGCTATGGTCTGGAATTGGGCAGCTGATGTGACCCAACACTGTCATGGACTACCAGTCATGGGTTAAGCTGGTGGAGCGTATCCCCTTAGGGACCTCACACCCTACTGAGCGTCTGACCCATAGTAGGTGTGTTAAGTGCTGGCTGAACACAAAAAAATGCTGAAAAAAATACATACATCCCTCTATTCACCTATCCTACACAACCGTGTATCCAGTAGCATGTCAGGGGAGCCTGGAGCCCGTCCAGAAAGCCCCCTGAGCACGGCTGGGGATGCCCTGGACGGGGTCCGTCTATTGCAGAGCACACGCACAACACTAAGGCCAACTTAAAGGCACAAATTCACTTGCCATATTTTTGGCCTGTGAGAGGGAGCCAGAAGAAAGCCACACAAAACAATTAAGAAACAGCCTGAAAAATGTACTGTATAAATGTTTCAATAAAATAAATGTAACCTCCTTTTCTCGTTTTTGCAGTAATTAGGGTAGTCTGCGGCAGTTCCCTGCACACCTGGTCTTTTTCACCGCTTGTTTTGAGCTGTTTTTTGACCCACACTTGACCAGGAGCTTTCTGGAACACCAGCCGAACGACTCTGCGGTCGACTGAATCATTTCATCCCAAAAAAAAAAAAAAAAAAAAAGTTGAAGAAGAACAAATAAATAAATAATAATAAATGCAGCCTTTGCTGCAGCCGAACTTCTGACTCTCTGACTTGGCCGCACAGGAATAGAACAAAGAGCGTAGATTGTTTGGCGCTGGAATGAAGCAGGGTATTATCTTTAAGCTGTGACGCGAGTTCTGCTGGCCTCTGGATTGCTGGCATAGTTCGCATTGGCCGCTCGTGGCGTTTACAGCACCACGCATGTCTGGGATGCCTCACCTCCTACTGCAGAATGTGGCACAAGCTGGGCTCATTTGCATCTGCGATGTCATGATCCAGGAGAAGCAGAGGATGATGGGCCTTCGGCAGACCGCCGCCCTGTTTGTTTAGTTTCAAAAAAGTAAATGCACAGATTAATACGCAGAAATAAATTGAATCAGAGGTGGAAAGTTCAGCTGCAGAAAGTAAAAATCAGACCAAGGTTTGGCTTCAACCAATCAGCTGAGTATAAAGGGTCACAGTCACAGAGCACTCAACTGGTTGGCTGAAACAAAACCTTGGTCTGGATTTGTTCTTTCTGAACCCAAACTTTCCACCTCTGAATTAAATGCTTGGTTACTGACCCTACTAACACTTAGATATCGACACGGGGGTATGTGTCTTTAAAACGAGCCTTCTGTTTCGATTTCGAATATGCCGTTGATTAGGTTCCCCGGACGACGCCGTTTCAGCCACTTTCGGGGAATGTGCCCAGCATTTGTGAGCCCGGATTCCGGCTCATCGCCGAACAACTCAGTCGCCAGCCAGCCCGCAGATCGAAGACCTGAAAGACATCCCACCAATTGACACAGCCTGGAGGAAAAAAGAACGAGCAAAACAAAAGTCTATTCATGGTTGAATCCTCTTATAGACTCGCCCATCCCCCTCTTAAAACAAGAAAAAAGCAGGGAATGGAGTAAGAAAGACGGAGGGAAAAATGGATGAAGGTTAGGACAAATACCCCATGCACATGGAAATATGGGGTGTGAATGTCAGCCGACCGTTATGTCTGTAAGATTCCTGAATTGATTTTAATGACTACATGCATTGCCAGCATGTATATACGATACTTTCTTCAGTACTGACGTAGATTTTAAATGGTATTTATTTCACAGTGGTTGCCTAACAGCAAATTCCTGACGAATGCTATCTGCTAGATTTGCTCGCTTTCTGCGATAGGGAGGCAGCAAAGGCAGCTACCACAGACCACTCCTCCACCCTCTCGGTCATAGCTAGTTATGCTATTCTCTCACCTTCCAGAAACTTCCAGAGACACTCGGACATGCAACCATTCTGCCTCATAGTGGAAACTGACAGGACTGTGTGCTCGGTGAACACGATGAACTCACCCCATTTGCTTGAATTCATGCATATGCATTTAATTATCTTTACTGCCCAAACGACATCTAACCATATCTATATTATTGTTTATTCTTTTAAGAGGTCACAAATAGTGTATTTTCTTAAAGTGTCTACTATACCTTTTCAATACTGTATATACAATAAAACAAAGTATCTGTGCACAATGTGATCACAGTACTTCAAGTCATTGCCCCAGAGGCCAAGAGAGCAGTTTAAAAAGTCTCAACTCTGGCAACCAACCGGCAAATAGTGTGTGTTACAAATGCGGCCAGTTACATGGATACATTTTCTGCTCTCGCTCATGTCTTCATATTCTCTCCCACGTCCAGCCAAATTAAACTGCCCATCGCTGGGGGCTGTGCTGTCCCGCAGCGGTGCCTGGTATTGTTCCTCAACAACCCATAAATCCGTACAAATATGCTAAAAGCAGAATCTGTGTCAAAGGTCACCAAAGGCTATCCTTTGGCCCCCTCTCGCCAGATGGAACCTTTTATTTTCCCAGGCTGCCAAAGAGAAATCTCACAGCTTCGCCGTTTCATGGTGCTAAGCCAAACTTATACGCTCTGGGGGCCAAAACAAAGATGGGACTTTTCCCTCTCCGCATATGATTCCCGTTCGGGTAAACAGGCGGGCAGACGTGACCTCGGAGCGCTAAAACGGGCTGAGAACTTCAGGAGTCTGCCGTTCCTCTCAAGAACATGTGTTTTGGACAAAACGCTCAGTTAAAAAGCACCCAGTGTTTTTATTTTAAATAGCTGAATATCTCAGCCTGGGCCAACGATCATGCATGCGTGGGTGATTTTTAAAAAATTTATTTTAGTATTTCCTGACACCACAAGTCTCAAATTTAGCTCATTTTATTCGATTTTTCTTTAAGCCTTGAGTAACAAGGCAGGAATGAAGACCCTCTAATGAACAGCACATACAAATCTGTTCGTATTTTACCTAGAAGCAGGAATTATTTGCAATTAGTTTCCAGAGAGCAGAGGAATCTTCATGTCAAAAAGGCATATTGTCCTAGTGAAGATGGAAGCCAAAACGAGTCAGTAACCTTGGGTTTTCTCGCGGACATAAAATTTTGGTTTATTTGTTCCATAGACAATGCAGTAAGTTGAAAATGGGGCTATGCTTTATTCTGATAGCCCCATTCAGCTGGGCTACCAGAGTCCCATTCGACTAACTATTAGCAAATAATTTGCATGTTTAGTCAAGTGCAGCTGCCAGTCTGATGCTGATTGACTACACATCTGTAGGCATTCAACAAATCATCCATAAAACACTGGCTTGTCTCATGCTAAGCACTAGTTAAATTGTCAATAGTGGAAGGAAAATGGAGTCTGTAGGTTCAACTTTATGTTCAATTATTTGGCAGATGCTTTTATCGAAAGCAACATACAATTGAAAAATCAGGGTCAGCCAGTCCCTGGAACAAGTGGGGTTAATGGCCTCACTCAGAGGGCCAAAGGCATTCTACTGGCTATGGGATTTGAACCCACAACCTTCTGGTCTGAGTCCTAACCTGTGCACACCTCTCCAGCGATGCCCTGAATGACAGTAAGACTAAGCCAAGAAGAGCATTGACAGAAAAGTTGTAAGTTTTCCTGCCTGGTGTTATGTAAAAGTAGTACTTTTCCCATTTAGCGTTCGGTGTGAGTCGGCGAAGACGGCGGAGACGAGCCCTGCTGGCTCATCGTGGTAGGGGCGGACTCGGTCTGTGAACCAGAGCGCCCACCGCTTCTCAGCGGAACCTCCGAAACCTTGGCCAGCCCTCCCTCCCCGTGAAAGGCGGACGGGGTGCGACCGCAGCCGTGCGGGGGGTTCGAGGGCCGAGGCTGCCGCGGTTTCAGAGAGTCAGCGCCAAGCTCACAATAAACAGCTGCGAGTCTGTCGGAGCGTGCAGGGAGACACACGGGAAAATAAAAAAGAATACGGCTCTGTTCCCTGCTTGGAAAGTTTTGATGGAAAAACCTTGAGGAAATGCATATCAAAGAGATGATATCATTCCCGCTGGGAATGTGGGCTTAAAGTTTTTAATAAAAAATGCCCTTGTGAAACTTACATGTATATGCAAGGTTTAAATGAAGTAGAAAGTGCTTTAAAGATGTACCATCTAACCAGATGCTACACAAAGCGGCAGTTAACAGGGACAGCTGCGGAACAAGAAAAACAGCATGCTGCTACGGACGACCCCCCCCACCCCCCACCCCACCCCGGCACCCTTTCAACCTCACCGCATGTATTCTAGAAGGAAATATCTGTGTATTTGTCTTCTTAAATGCATTGTACTGTTGACACAAGATATGTACAACTGATATATAATTTGAAACAAATCTCTTGCCCGTTTCATCTCCATCCCCCCCCCCCCCCCACCCCGAAATGAGTGCCTCTCCACTGAGCATATCAGGTTTCATTCAGATGTCAGAACGCTTACCGGAATTGTCAGTTAAATAAAATAGTGTAGACCACCTCGGGTCTTCTATATCAATATCAATAAAGGGCTGTTTGTTTAAATCCCTAAATCTGTCCCTTCCCACAAGGAGCTGTGACATTGAGTGGACTAACGCGGGCGGTCAGGGGGAGTTTTAGCATCGCTAAGAGCCTCCGCCAAACCAGACGCGAGATTCATCCGAGGAGAAATTCAGCCCTTTGTGGCTCACAGGCTCAAGCCTACAATAAATAATGCCACAGGCCTCTGGGTTAGGCTGCGATTGTTATATTTTATGATACGGCAGAAGGTCCAAGAGGGCCTACAGTGCATGGAGGTGCTTGTAAGCCTTCTCACTACTGCTAACAACCTCCATACTAAGGGGGAAGCCGTTCTCCTGGGCAAACGATTAGTATAGCACTAGATCAGGTCCCAGATTCCTCAGACGAGCGGGAAAACTTGCAAGTGCATCAGCTAAACGGAACAGCATTAGAGACCCACTGTTTATTATTGGTTAAAACTTAAAAATACCCTGAAGAGTTTTGCAGGGAGCCTGGACCCTATCCCAGGCAGTACAGGGCAGGGGTTCACCATAGATTGGATGCTAGACCAACTATAGCCTTTGCAGGATTTTAATAACACACACACAGCAAATCACCTTTCTGGGATTAGAATGAACGACCCTTTTTGTGACAAACCAGCACAGATTCTTAAGCAGAGCAAGGTAACCTTTTTGTGCTTCTGATGGGAAAAATTGCATCAACCAGTAATGAAATATGGATAAATATGTATAAATATATTTAATTGATACAGCACCTTTCTTCAGTATGGCAAACACAGCAAGAATAATGAACGGAGACGGAGAGGATTAACAATACTATATGATAATATATCTGACAATAAACAAGCGGACAAACAAACACAGACGAAAGCCACCAAGTAACACAGTGTTGGGAAAACCAAGGGGCAGAAGATGTACCCACCTCCCTATTCCCTGTCAGCACGCATTTGGATTCACCCTGAATAGTCCCAACTGGTAACCATTAATATCATTTCCTTCACCCCTCCCCTTCTTGGCTTTTGCATTTTGCAATATTTTTGATATATTCTCCGGGTTGATAATCCTGTTAATGTAGCTGTTGTCGATGCTATATTTATTCTCGCTTAATCTTCTCCGCTGACGTACCCTCTCCTTTGTCCCTTGGCTGACCCCCCCGTTCACATTCTCTCCATCTGAGGCCCAAAAAAAAAGTGTTACAAGGCACGTTTTAGGACAAGCTGGTTCACGGTGCAACCTTGAAGGGTTCAACTGCAGTCTCCATGGTCTGTTTCCATGGCATAAATATACAGTAGGTCAGGTGACCTGTTGGCATCTATCACTGTCATCCGATCTTCCTTTTTTTCTTTTTAAACAAAGCATACATCTTTGTATTTACTTCAACTGAAATACCTTAAAAATCCTCCGCAAAAATTTCTGAAATCCTTAGCTGACATTTCCTGAACACACATAACGTCCGGTGTAGATATTACACATTAAGACCTGCTGGCTTGCTTTATATC